CCTTTTACAGCTTCCTAGTCAAATAAGCTGAACATGTTTATTCACAGATTTCACTGTAAACCTTGAATAATACAGATCAAGCATAATGTCGTCTGATCACGCCCAGCCCTGCCCTCCCAGTGTCCGTGACTGCTGCGGTCAGTTGTCGCTCCTCCAGGCCTCTAGATGCATTCCACAGCTGTCACAGTTCTGTGACAGAAACGGCAGCATGAGACAGACTTAGCTGCCACCGGCTCTCTTCTTGTAATAGCAGGTGGCTTCTTCCTCCGGCCGGCCCTCGTGGTCCACTTAGCTGCCCCTGAGCTGACAGCTGTTCCCAGTGTTTCGCTGTTCGGCCCCTGTGTGGACAGCGGGGGCTGTGCGGCTGTGTGGGCTTGCGCGGCTGTGTGGGCTTGCGCGGCTGTGTGGACTTGCGCGGCTGTGTGGGCTTGCGCGGCTCTGTGGGCTTGCGCGGCTCTGTGGGCTTGCGCGGCTCTGTGTGCTTGCCCGGCGTGTCTGTAGCACAGACACGGTCCGTACACGTGTTGCATGCTGACTCCCGGCTTTTTGTGTTCAGTGTCTGTCTGTTGGTGACTGATCTGGCCTTCCCACGGCAGGCCCCCTGTGCCCTCTGAGAGGAAAGCGGACATAGATATTCCTGAGCCCAGCGGGGTCGTGTCACGGGTGTGGCCGAGCCGCCCTGACCAACAGCGCGGACCAGCGAGCTTCCCTTTGGGACCTCGGTGCTTGCCCCTTCGTCCCTGCCAGCCCACTCTGTCCCCCTCTCTATCAGAATAAGAAGCAGATGGCCTGGCTGCAGCACTATGGAGGTGACCACCTGCCAGTCTGTCACCTGTTCTGAGATTCTTTTGCTGCAAGACCAAAGAGCGATGACAACATCCCCCCCGCAGGGCATGTGGGGCTGGGAGATGTGAGGAGGATTAGTAGGCCCTTGACCAGGATTAGTGTGTGAAAGGACGACTTAAAGGCGGCTTAGTCCCCCTGGCCTCTTGTCCCAACCCTAGTGCTGCTACCGCAGGGTCCTGTAGTTGGTTAGGGACCAATTTAACTCCCTGCCTTTAGGTGTTAGCCAACCACTGAGATCTTCACTCTCAACCAGAGGCTAGCCCAGATATCTGCTGTCCACCAAGATGTCAGTTAACCATGCATAGCAATTCCCAAGAAGATTATCAGGGTTATTGGCCCTATAATGAGTTTCTGTTCACAATGTAATCTCCGACAATGTCCTTTGCCCTCATTCCACTGTCAGCTTTCTGACAGATGCCCTGGAATACAGTGGATGCTCAGTGAATATTGCTTGGAGTCCATGAAAGACAGCTGTCAGTTGACTGACAGGCAGGCGGCCGCGGTGAGGTTCCAGAGAGCACCGGGTCAGTCGGCGGCCCTGGCCACTGGCAGCCAGGGGTGCAGAGAACAGGCGTTCCTCTTTCCTCCAAGGGAGAAGCCAGCTGGCTGTTGTAGGCGGCGCCTGAATGGGGGCTCCTTGCAGGGGCCACCCCAGGCCTGGCCAGGTCCAGGTAGGTTGAGAGATTAAGTTTCATTAACTCACTCATGGGTGACCTGGCTCTGGGAAACCAACCAGGCAAGCCACTGACTGATGAGCCAGATCAACAGTTTATTAACTGACGTTGGCAGCTGTGACTGCTAAGCAGCCTGGCGCGCTGGAGTCAGCCCTGTGCCTGGCTCATTCTCTACAGGAGGAAAATTTACTTGGGACTCCAGTTCGGCGGGAGAAGAGTAGAATGGAGAGTGGTGACGCCAGGGAAGACTCGCTAATGCCACATGCACTATCATTTATTCCCCGCTGTGGTCACGACTGCTGCCCCATTCTGTGGGTGAGGATGTGGAGGGCAAGTGGGTGCCGGTTACTGAGAGCTGGAACCGCACTCCAGGCCTGTTCCTGGCTCCCTTCCCTCAACACTGCTGAGTTCTGGGGCCCCAGGCCCCTACCCAGGCAGGCCCCCAGCCCTGAAGAAGGCTCTCAGGCTCCTGTCTGTGAAGGCCAGCAGCTTCCCCTAGGAACAGTTCTGCCTCCTGATGGGCCGCGGGAGACGCGTGTCCCAGCTGCAGGGCCCCGAGTCCCAGGGGACAGCTCACCTTCTGCAATAATAACAATAAGCACATTAATAGCCGCCATTCACTAGGGCCGCCAAGTGTCAGGCAGCACGCCAGGCGCATTATCTCACTCTCTGACCACCTCAGGAGGCGAGCACGCTCACCTCCTGTTTATAGACGCAGCGCAAAGGTTCAGAGACTAGATACCTGGCCCAGGGTTGCAGAGCGAGGGAGTGACAGAGCTGAGACCGGAGTTCAAGGTGCGAGCCGGCACTCCCCCCCAATGTCTACCTGCCTTTGAGGGCGACTGTCTCATAGCCCACGTGCTGGGGCTGGTCCCTCCTAGGATCTCCACTCCCTGTGTGCCGGGGGCGCTGGCTGTGAGGTAGGGAATCCCAAAGGCGTCCCCTGAATCTATTTCACAAGACTGGATCCTGGAATTGGGGAGTCAGGGCCTGGCGTGAAGAAGAGGGAGAAGGCATAGCCCTGCTGGTGAGGCTTTGCAGGCAGGCTCCATGGCCTTCCTCTGCCCCTGTTGCTCGGGTTCCACACTCACTCCATACCCCAGCCCCTTATCAGCCTGAAACTCCTACTCATCCCTCAAGCTCCAAGTGTTACCTCCTGGGTTCCATTTCTCCATTCTAATCAGGCCGGAGGAGGGCATTTACCAGGCTTCATTGTAATCACCTCAGTGTTCCCCACTAAGCCTCAAATCCCGAGTGGTCTTTGCAGCGCTCAAGTCATTGGCATTAGCTCTTAGCCTCTACCTATTTATTTATTGCATATTATTAAATATTCATATTCCCCGGGGACCAGGATCACAGGTCTTCCACTCACAAATAGTGGAAGATCTGGTCACAGCACAGTTCACAGAAGCAGGTATGGATTTAAGGAATTCTAATCCCAGGTAGACCATCTCATCATTTCTGAAGCACTGGTAGAACTTGTTGGGGTTTTCCTCCTAGGAAAGTCCTATCAAGAATAACATGCTACTTCTGGGAATTCTGTTTGCTAAGCTTGGACCCCAGAGAAGAGCTAAGTGGGGGATCAGGAGTTGGTGCAGATCATGGGGAGGTCTGTAGACCGTAGTAGAAGGCAGAGAGGAGTCATAGTTCATAGAGCCCTCGGCCAGGAAGGCAGCCTGGGGAGGCCCAGAAGCAGCAGAGCAGAATGGGAAAGACGGGATTTCGGAGCCAGCCCTTGAATTCAAAGCCTGGCTTTGCACTTGCTGGCTGTGTACTTGTGTTCCAGAAGAGGGCACACTTGACATGGGGCTTGAAGGATGAACCTGAGTGGCTGGTCAGGCCTGGGGAAGTCCTCCAGGTGGGCGGGAGGTGCGAAGGGTGTGGAATCCCCCACAGCAGGGGCAAGGGGAGGAAGCTGATGTATCTGCCAAGCTTTACCTCTCTAGGCCTTGATTTCTTCTAGAAACGCCAGAATCCCTGCCAATAGGGATGTTCCGAGGACTGAACGGGCTAATGTCTTAAAGCACGTAACAGATGCCCACTCCTCACCACTGTTACTCGAAACTTTATCCTCTGGGCAAGAACAGGGGGGAGTTGGCAGGAAGCCTGGGTCTCAGCGGAGGTCTCTGAGGTCCCCTCCTCCAGAGAGCCCTCCCTGACTACCCGCCCCACCACAGACCAGTGCCCTGTTAGCAGCCTCCCTTCCAGCCCCGCTTCCTGTTTTTCTTTGGTTATCTTCATCCTACTGTTAAAATCCAAATCCACAAATATAGAGATCTCACTGGCTTTATTCAAGGATTCATGAATCTGCATTCTGTCTAGGTACTGCAAAGACTCACGAAATTTATGGACAGAATGCGAGCAGGGCAATTTATTAGCTTAAGAAAAGGTTATTTCTGGTAAAGCCACCTTCCCTAAGGGACAGGGGTTGGGGGGGGGCAGAGGGGTCCCCATCATTCAGGGGACCTCACTGATGTTGATCAGGAAACTCCAGATCATATTGCTGGTAGAGGCTGGAACTACAGTGGGTATTAAGTCTGCGTGGGGGTCCAGCATGAATGATGCTGTTTCAGGACTGTTTTTTCTCATTTTATTTTAGTTTATTAAAGATTTATTTATTTATGCATATAAGAACTGGGGTTCAGGTCAGAGGTGTGATGGGTGAGAGGATTCCCCAGAGGCAAAGTGGGGAGCAGAACAGGCAGATGAAGAAAGTACACTGCTGAGGGGAGCAGTGGGCAGGTCAGGAGAGGTCTGCAGCACCATGTGGGTCAGCTCCTTGGCTGGGAATCGAACTTGTGCTGCTGTGGCTGCGGAGAGCTTCATAATGCTGAGACTTAACCCCTTTTGACACCAGGGAGAGAGCCCCGTTTTTTCTAATTTTTTAAAATAATATAACAGTTTATTTTTACATCATTTTGTACATTTTTTTTCCCATCTCTAATCCCCGCGGGTTTCCCATCACCGAGTCACCCATGTGCCATCACCATAGTCCCGTGCATTTCCTTCCCCCACCCCCGTTTTTGCTCCCATTCCCCACTCCACCCCCGCAAAATGTCCCTGGTATATAGCTGTTCATTATTCTTGTTATTTTCTCGCCTGGTCCATTATATTCCTGCTATGAGCGAACCCACCTGGTATTTTTCTTTCTCTTTCTGGCTTATCTCACTAAGCATGATCTTTTCCAGCTCCATCCAAGTTTTTCTAATTTTAATAATACTAATAGTTGCATGCCCCATAGACTCCAAGCTCAAGGTCAGGGAACTTGCCTGTCTTGTTCTTTTCTGTTTTCCTTTTCCTGGCACATAGTAGGTGCTCAGTAAATAGGTGCTGGATTAGGGACGGAAGGTGTTGGGCAAGCTCTAGATTCCAGGCTGCCACAGGAGCGTCGCCATGCGGCCAGGCCTGGGTGGGGACCGGGTCACTGAGGTCAGTGTCACAGGGACGGGACTATCTGACCTCTCTTTTCCTTTCCCTCAGTTCCTGGCATTCGACACCCAGTTGCTGATGGGTAACCGACGCCACTCACTGAGCCCCGAGGAGTATATTTTTGGAGCCCTCAACATTTACCTGGACATCATCTACATCTTCACCTTCTTCCTGCAGCTTTTTGGCACCAACCGGGATTGAAGAGCCCTTCCCACTCCCTCCTTCCTTCGGAAAATGCCCCTTGCTGGTTCTCTGACCCTCCCTGTGGTCTTGCAAGCCCAGATATAAAATTAGCTGCCAGCCCAGCCTGTGGCCACCCACTCCCGCCCTCAGCCCCTCCCCCTGCCCCCAGCTTGACCTGATGGCACCAGTCCCCTTGCAGCCTCCCGCTAGGACAACTCCCAAACCGCCATAGCCGAGGAAGAGGCTCCTCTGGGTTTGAGCCCCCCAGGGATGAGGGGCAGAGCCAAGCAGGGTGTCAGCTGTGGGACACAGACCCCAGGAAGCCTGACTGAGACCCACACCCCCAAAGTCACTCCACCTAGACTGCACATCCGTGTGGCCTTGACTTCCTCTGCCATGGCCGGTCCACCCCTTTCTCGTTCCTTCCAGGTCAGGCATTGGCACACGGTAAGGAGCATGGTGGGAAGACAGCTAGGAGGTAGGGACGTGGGAGGACAGTGCCCCAGGCCGCCCGCCGTGCTGTCCCCACTCTGGGGCCAGTCATTTTTCTAGGCACTTTGTGAACCAAGAACGGTGGGAGAGGGCAGGAAGCAGTGCCATCTGCTCCGGCCTTGGTTTACCCTTCGGGTCGTGATCGAGCACTGCTAGGCCAGGAGGTAGGGGCTGGAGGGCCTGCTGCTAGCTGGAGACTGTCCCAGAACTCTAGGGCCGAGGGAGCCGGACAGCCAGCAGGGAGGCCTGGGTTCTGCAACACTCACCCGCATCCGCGGGCCTTTGGGGTTCCCAGGACTGAGACCTACTTCCTCTCACCTCACAGGCCAAGACGGGGCTTGGGCCCTAGAGGTCTGGGTGTTCCGAAGACAGGAGGATTATTCTAGTCAAGTCAGCCCCATCTGGAGGGAATCCTTCCCTGCCCCCAGCCCTCCCCCTCGGCCTTTCTTGTTCCCCAGACCCTCTCCATCTGCTCCCTCTTGCTGGCTCCTCCCCAGTCAGCAAACAGGCTTCATTTGGCAGTACCTGTGCCCCTTACCCATATCCCATCCCTTCTCCTAGCCACTGCGAGTCCTAAGGCCCCTCCGTCCTAAGCCCCCTCCGCTCCTTATCTCAGCAATCCCGTTGGAAGCCATCCAGCTGCTGTTAATGTTAACACCAGCCAGCCCTTCCAGCACGTCCCATGTGACCAGGTCCAGTCTCCTTATCAGCCTTCAGGCGGCTGAGATCTCAGCGGGTGCGTCAGCCACCCGCACCCCCTGCGGCCCTCTGGGCAGGTGGGGAGCACCAGCCAGCGGCTGAGAGCCCAGCCGCCAGCTCTGGGCCTGTGGAAAGTTACTGGGTGGGGCCGGGGAGGCTCAGAGCGGATACCTGAGCCTGGACCCTCCCTTGGCCTCTCCCTCCAGGGCTGACTCTCTCTCCCTGTGCTGGGGGCTCGTAGGCCAGTGGGGAGGGTGGTTAGGTATGTTACCCTTCCTCCTCCTCCAGCCTTCCTGCTCCCAGCTTTCAAGAATACTGCGAAGCGTTCGAAGTCTTGTTCCATCTTGGTATCTGAGAAGAGAGGTGGCGGTGGTGTGTGAGCAGAGGCAGCTGGGCGCGTGGGTAGGGTGCCTCCTGTGTGCTAGTCACAAGTCACGCATCACAGCGACCCCATGAAGCTGTGCCCCGCACAGCTCCCCTGCAGAGGGAAGAGCTGAGGTGGTCGAGGGCTTGGCGCGTGGTGGTACAGCTGACAGGAGGTGTGGGGGGCCTAGAAGGAGCCTGGCGGTGTCCCCGAAGTGCTGTTCTAGTGTGCCCCTGGTCTTCCACTGCCCCAGCCCCCCAGCTACCACCAGCAGCTTTTACGCTCTGTAGTTCCCACCTTCTAGATACAGCTGGAGGCAAGATTCTGGTGTTTGGTTCCCAGCCTCGCTGCCAGCAGGTTCATGGTTCTAGGCCAGTGTTTCTTGCCATGATGGCAGACTGTGGCCAGGGGGCAGAGAAAGCGGAACCAGGACATGTTTCCATCAACTTCATTGTCCAGTTGAGGTCCCTTCCTGACCTCCGGCCTCAGTGCTAGAGGGCTTCTCCCTCCCCCTTCACCCTGCAACTGTCAGCCTGGGCCCTGGTCATGCTCTCAGAATCCACCTGTCCAAGTCCTCCTCTTCCACAACAGTTTCTGTAGCAACTGGGGACTGAAAGATTTATCCAGGAATGAGCCCCAGAAGCTTGAGGGAGGCAGACCGTCAGGCCTGAGCAGTGTGCAGTGGTCCCTTGGGGGCATCTTGAAGCAGAGGCCCCCCGGGGTCCAGAGAGGGGCCCCGGCCCCCCTGCAGAGCCAGGCCTGCCTCTCCTGTGCTCCCCTGCATCAGGCTCCGAGGAGCTGGGAACACCTGGATGGGACGGGGAGGAGGAAGGGCGGGAGACAGGAATGCAGGATTACCAGAAACTGAGAAGTTGAAGCTGGGCAGGCTCCCAAGCTGCAGAGGAGGAGGGGTGCCTGCTGGCCCCTCGCATTTTTGGCAGGGGTGGGGTAGAGCCCGGAAGGGGTAAGTTTGGGTTTTTTAAAGCTAGAGGCTGCCAGGAATAAAATGCTCTGTGGCGCAAGGCTGGAGGCCTCCTAATGGGGGGAGACAGACCAGGAGCTCCTTTCCTGGGGTTCACAGATTGGGGGCCTAAGGCACAAGGGAGTCCCTGGCTGCCTGCTCCAATTCCCATGTGCACGTGTGGCCTGGGGAAGCCCCAGAAACCTCTGTCCCTCTAACCTCTGCTCCCCAGGGACTCGGGACCAGACAGACACCTTACTCCAAAAGGCTCTGCCTCTCCCTGGGGCCCGCTGGGGACAAGACCCAGGACCTGGCGCAGCTCCATGGGCTGGAGATTTACACCAGCACTTTGCTGCCCCTTAGTGGATCCCGGAGGAAGCGCAGGGCCTGATCCTGCAAGGGAGCGGGGCAGGGCTGCAGGCCGGAGGCTGCAGGCCGGAGGCTGCAGGCCGGAGGCTGCAGGCAGGATTTGGCAGCTTTCTCATTCCTAGCCCTCCTCGGACCCCCCTAGGCCTCCCTCCTCATCAGCCCCTTGCTGTCCCCACTGTCGCGTCTCAGACGCATTTACTGTCTGCTGGCAGCCCCAGCCTTTCTCCCCAGTGTCTGAATGCAGGACATGCCCTCAGACTGAACTCCTCCAACCTGGGGTTCGTGCCTGTCCCCTTCCCCGACCTCCCCTCCCTGGTTCTGGCTCATGACTGGTGGGGGAGCAGAATAAAAGTAACTCTGACACTTGACCACTTCCATTGCCTTTTGCTTGTCCCCTGAGATGGCACAGGGAGTCCACGTGTGAGGTGTAAGTCAGGCTTGGTGTGAAAGGTGCCAGTTCTCCCAGCACAGCTGTGTGCGAGTCAGGTCTCTACACTGGCCTTTCTGTGGGAAAAGCCCGCTGCCCTCCGGCTGGCACGCGCCCTTTGCAGACACTCTGGCCCTCGCACCTCATAGTCCTGTCAGAGGGGCTGTCCTGGGAGCCTGTTCTCTTGTCTGTGGTTCTTAGAAGACTCTTCCTTATTTTCACCCAAAATCTGTTCTTCTAGAAGATTCTGTTGTACCTGAAGGATCCTCCAGAGTCAGAGCTCCAAGAGTCACCTCTTCTGTGAGGACTTGCCCTCCCCCAGGTGCCCCGGCTTCTCCCTCCTCAGAACCCCCCTGCACGGGTCTAGTTCTGTTTTAACTGCTTCTCTTGTCTCTGCTATGAAACTCGAGCTCCTTGAAGGCATGAACTATGTCACCCTTGAATTCACAGGATTTATGGCAAATAGTCTCAATAAACAGCTTTTGAATGAATGTGAAGCCATGCAAAGCCTGGGGAGGTCACGGTGAATGGGTCCTCACCCATGTGCCTACACTGCCAGACAAGGCTCAGACTCAAGGTGCGAAACAATGGGGCTTGTTAACAAAGGGAAACTGTGGGGTAGGGAAAGAGTTGGTTTTTTTTTTTAAGATTTATGTATGCATACAGACCTGGGGTACAGGCCAGAGGTTGGGGGAGAAGGATTCACCAGAAATGAGTGGGAAGCAGAATAGGTGGACTGACTGAAGTACCCTGATGAGGGGAGCAGTGGGCAGGTCAGGAGAGGTCTGCTGCATCGTGTGGGTCAGCTCCCTGCGCAGGAATCGAACTCGTGCTGCAGTGGCAATGGACAGCTTCATGGTGCTGTGATTTAACCCATTGCACCACCAGGGAGGGCCCTGGAATGGAGATGGTTTCTAAGGCAACGAATAGCTGGTTGTCCTACCCCAGATAGTGTCCACAGTGTCTAATACTCTAAACCAGAGGCTGCTCGTGCAAGATGGCACTTGATGCTGATGAGTGCCTGGCGCTGGTGGCACACTGGGGAAGGGTGGTCCAGGACCCCATTCACTGTGGCAGCTGGAGGTGGCCACAGGAGCCACTGCTGAGGTGACATTGCCGCTGCCAGCAGGCGGCCAGGCAGTGCTGGACTGCGGGCAGCACCGTGAGGCCATGCCGGGTGTGCTGGAGACAAGAGAGTGGTCAGGCGATGGTGCAGAAGACCGGATGCAGTGGCCAGTCTTACAGCGGCTGGACACAGGTCAGCAGTGCCAGTTAGCACCGTCAGCAGGTGACGATCGCCTGGCAGTGGCCCAGCGCCTAGATGTACCATGCCACAAACTAACACAGGCCTCTTTTAGAGGCAGTGCCCAGGCACCAGTGCGCAGCTTTCAGAGACACCAGCCAGTGGTGCCAATCAGCAGGTGATGGCAGAGAAGGCTGGCGGCAGGAGCAGCAGGTAGATGGTCATTTGCAGTGGAGATTAGATGCGAAGGTCACAAAGGCCTTGAGGTCTTGGGGGGTCTGTGTCAAAGGTCTTTGCAGCAGAATCTGGACAAGTCTGTCTGAAGCTGTCTAAACCCCACTTCTAATCCCTCAGGGCAGTGGCCTCTCAAACCTGCCCGTCTGTTTGCAAAACCAACTTGATTGAGCTCAACCAGTGTGAGCTCAAACCTGATTAGTCCATTTACAAAACCATGTGGTCTCTTAAACAAACCTCACCAGCCACGAAACCCAGCTGCTGAGGTCAGGCCCCCCAGTGGTGCCGGGAGGTGAGCTCCACTGTAGCTGTGTGGTGCCCGCCAGGTTTAAACCTGCCCCGCGGTTCCAGAATCACCACTGCTTTTTTCAAAACCTAAACTCAGCTTGTGCCAAGGTCAGCCACCAAACCTGGCTTTCGCTGTGGTGTGATGCTCAGCGGGCCCCCGGCACCCCCACTCCCCACCTGCCACCACAGAGCCCCTCCGTCCCTGCTGCATGTGGCTGCGGGGGGTGCAGGCAGGAGGATGCTCCTCTTACAGAGGGAGAAATGAATCCACTCCAACCCTTTGGTTTTACCTGAGAGGAAACGAGGGAGCAGAAGCTACGTGACTCGTGACTCGTCCAAGTTTATGCACAAGGTAGTGACTGGGAGTGCAGGGGAAAAGAACAATTTTCGGTCGCTGCCTCGGCATTTTCCAGTAACGCGACCCTTCTCAAGCTCAAGGTGGGCTTTTAGAAGCGGGCGACTGCACAAGTGCCTGACCCGCTTTTCCCAGAGCGACCAACACCCTCTGGCTAGGTGCTGCCACCCTGTTTGCGTCCTGCTTGCTCGCCGTAACTTGTGATCCTGGTCAGAGGCCTGGGCGGCCTTGCTCTCGCGCTCACTGCTGCTTCTGCTAAGTGTCGCCTGTGTCTGGTCATAGTTTCACTTTTCTGACTTGGCGTCAGAAAGCAGACTGAGGAAACCACTTAGTTGTAATGTGGGCTCTTTCCTATGGAAAAGAAGCTAAGTTGGAAGACAAAACTAATAAGAGGCCAGAGGGTAAGTGTCACAGAATCTTGCCAGGGAGAATTAGCAGGTTCCAGTTCAGGACCTGGCGGTCTGTGTCCACTCTCCCACCTCTGGCTGTAAGTCTCGAAGACACTCTTCAGGTCTGATCCTGCCACTTTCCTGTGGCTATAAACTCATGCACATACTTTCAGGAAATTCCTTGTGTATTAGTAAACTAAAGCCATTTTTTGTCATTGTTACTTACAACTGAGAACTTTTATTAAAATGATGTAGTGGGGCAGGGCAGGAATTCTGAGACTAGACATAGCCACGAACTATTAATCACCTGTAGACTCTATAGGATTTCAAAGGGGACAAGAAAATGACTTAGGTGGAGGAAGGTAGACCAATAAGGAGGTGAGGAATTTAGTGAATTAATGAAGATAGTGTTGGCTCAATGAGTACCTGTAGATCTATAATGTGTCTTAGGAGAGAAATGGAAGATTTGAAATACCCTTGTTTCCATGTTACATTCTATTAGGAATTAAGGCAGAAATACCACATGGGAAAGGCATCCAAAGTCTAGACCAGATTAAAAGAACTAATGTGAAGACTCAGCCATAGTCTTCTGGTCAGTATCCCACACACATTCATTCTTTTCCTTCTTTTCCAACATCCTGGTCAGTGACTAGTTTCTCTGACATTCATGTTTTCTTCTTCCTTACATGATGCTATATTCCACACCTTCTTCCTTACATAGTGCTGTACCCCACATCCAGGCGGGCCACAAGGATGTGTGTGGAGTGAGGACAGTCTCTTCTAGGTCTGGTTGTCAGATCATCCCTTGATATTCTGCAGACGCTCTGCTCCCTCATCTGCGATATCTAGAGGACTCGCCGGCGGACTTGAAGGCCCCAGTGAGACACGGAGTTTCTATGCGGACTCGTGAGGTGTCTGAGAAGCAGAGGACTCATCTCCCCACACTTGATGTGACAAGGGGAAGAAACCTTGAGCACTGAGATTTGCTTGTTCAGCACTTTGCTCGGCCTGACTAATTGGGCTCCATCTTTGGAGAAAATTATCTTCTGGGTCTCAGTTTCCTTATCTAAACATGAAGGATTTAAATATTTGTTCTCTTGACTGCCTCTCAGCTATAACGGTGCATTTATAAATTTTATGGTTTCTATGATTATTTTTAAGTGGTTTAAAATCTCAGCTCACCAAAATCTGTCAAGAAATGGCACTAGTGAGGCCTCACTGCTGGCGCAGGGTTTAAGTCTCAGAGCTATCAAGCTGTTGCCAGCCACTGCAGCATGAGTTCGATCTCCAGCCAGGGAGCTGACCCCCATGGCACAGCAGACCTCTCCTGTCTTGCCCACTGCTCCCCTCAGCAGTGGATCTCAGTAGATCAGCCTGTTTTGCTCCCCACTCTGTCTCTGGTGAGTCCTCTATCACACACACACCCTCCTTACCTCTAGCCTACACCACAGCTCTTGTATGCATAAATAAAAATAAATCTATTTTTAAAAAAAGTTCAGCAAATCACTAGCTTCATGTAAGAGGGGACCCTGGAGATACTAAGTCACATGGGGCTAGGTCTGTGTAAATTTACTGCCCCCTGTCGGCTACTCTGGGCTGTGCTAATTTCTGACTTGAACCTGCTACCTTGACTGACCCTCCTCTTTCCCATCAGTCCTGATATTTTCCCCTATTTCTTCCTCAGCCCACATTTGCCTAGTTAAGTTCAGTTCCTTCCATTTTACTGTTCCCAAACAGACCTGGCTTTAGTCACCTACTACGTCTTCCATTGAGTTTGTCTTGTGGTAAGCTTTATTTCAATGTGGTAAGAACATTTAACACGTGACCTAACCTCTTCACAGATGAAGTATAATGTAGTATTGTTATCTGTGAGCACAGTAATTGTACAGACCTCGAGGGTTTATTCATCTAGTATAACTGAAACCTTATTGAATAGTAACTCTCCCTTTCCTGGCTTATATCACTTAGCATAATATCCACAGGGCTTTTCCGTGCAGGATTTCCTTCTTTGTTAAAATGAAAAATATTCCACTGTGAGCTATAATCCCACATTTCTTTTTCTACTCATGCGTTGTCGGACTTATAAATTGTCTCCACACCTGACTACCCTGCAGTATCAAAACGAACATGGGCGTGCTAATGTCTTTTCAAGATCCGACTTTCAACCCTTTGGATTAATACCCAGAAGTGGGATTGCTGGGGCATACAGTGGCTCTAGTTTGTTCTGTTTATCAGGAAACGTCATAATGTTTTCCACAGAGGCTACACCATTTCATTTGACACTCCTACTTTCTCTACATACTTGCTAACACTTTTTTTTTAAGTAACAGCTATTCTAACAAGTGTCCAATGACAGCTAAAGGCGATTTTGATTTGCATTTTTCTGATTAATGATATTGAGCATCTTTTCATAAGCCTGCCGTCCATCTGTATGTCTTCTGTTGGAGAAATATCTACTCAAGTCTTTGTCTCCAGTTTAGTCCTTTTATTTCTCATTTTGCTGTCGAGCGGAAGTCCGGTGCGGGCTGCAGAGGCTCCCGGTTCTTCCGGCGGGCTCGGGACCACCAGCCTCCCTTCCGCGCACGCGCGGACCCGCCGCAGCTTCCGGCTTCCGGTCCCGAGCACCCCAGCGGCCAGGCTGAAGCTAATGGCGCAGCCCGCGGGGCCGGCCGCCGCCGGTGTCGAGGAAGCCACGGCGGAAGAGGACCCGCGAGTCCTGGAACCCGGGGCCGCCCCGTTCGGAAATTTCCCTCATTATTCCCGCTTCCATCCTCCAGAGCAACGGCTCCGCCTCCTGCCCCCGGAGCTGCTTCGCCGGCTCTTCCCCCCGAGTTCCGAGACCAGGCCAATCCTGGGGCTCGACGTGGGGTGTAACTCCGGGGTGAGTGGCGGGGGTGGGGCCGGAGGTCGGGGCGCCCACGCGAGACCGCCCGCGGGTCCGCTGGGGTTGTCTGGGTCGGCGTCACAGCTTTCCCTGACGCGGTTTGGAGGCGTGGCGCTGGCCGGCGCTGGCTGACCCTGGCCGACCCCTGCCGCGGCTGCCGCCAGACCCCGGGGTCTCGCTCCCTCACCTTGGGGATCTTGAGGACGAGTCCTCAGCGACGGTTAGAGCTCTTGCGCCCCTCCCCGCGGAGCCCCAGGTCGCGAAGGCCACCGTACCTGGCCCTGGCGCTTGCCTGCCGTCCGGCATGGCCACCGCTTGGGCTGCGGGAGGCGATCGCCATATAGACCCGCGTTTAGGGCTCTGGGCTTGGGACTGGCTCCCAGGGAGAGGTGAGCTACAGTAGCAGAATCGTTCCCGGACTTAGGCTCGAGCGCCGTGCAATGCAGCACGACCCGGCAACAGAGTGGACAGTTACCTAAAAAGCGCGGGAAAGGATGGAGAAGAAAAATAAAGCATCCTGTTGGAAGAAGGCACTGCCACATTTTCTTAATAAGTTTTCTTAGGCTTGTAATGACCGAAGTCAAACCACTTGCAAGACAGAAAAGGGTCTCTCTGACACTTGTTTGTAGCTGCCAGGCTATGGTAGAGGAGCGGTTACTCTGACCCTGAGTTTGCAAATGCTTCAGATGTTAGTTCCCTCTATCCCAGACCGGTAGCTGGAGGGGTGTGGGGGTGGTTATTGTGTTGCTGGCCTTAGGAAGAAGATTCTGGTGGCGGGTTGAAGGTTTTAGGAACACCACTGACAGAGGGAATAGTTGGGGAGAGGGCGGGCTAGGCTTCTGGCTATTCCCTGCAAACATTTCTCTACTGTGATGATACGGGAAATCAGAGGGGGTAGCTAGTGGAAAAGAGACACCGGATTTAAGACTAGGGATTTTATGAGGGGCACAAGGAAACCTCAGTAAAGTTAAGAATAGTATACAGAAACGTTTAGAGACAAGGATATATTTGTGGTTAACGAAGGCAGTGGTTCCCATACGTGGGAGCTTTTTATTTTAGGAAGCTTAAGAAAAAAATGCCTGTACTTGTTAAAACAAGCCAAGGGGGAGGGGAGTGGGAAATCAAAACACAAAGGAGCATAGAATAAAAAGTAAATCTCTACTCTTGACTTTTAATCCTCCATTTCACCTTAATCCTTCAACCACTGCTTACAGTTTTTTCTGTGTATCCTATGTATACACAAATATTTATGTGTAAGTATCATACCACTTTTAGTTTTGCAAAGAGTAGCATGCTACATCTTGCTTTTCATTCAATATTTTGGACATCATGCATGTCACTACATGTCTTTTAAGCAGCTTCATAATATTTTAGTGTGCCATAACTTATGGGGTGCTTTGTTTAAAATTTTAAAACTCCTAGACCTAATAAATCAGGATCTTGGACTGAGCCCTTGAGTCTGTATTTTCTTTTTTAAGAAGCTTTCAAGGTACAGTTTCTCCAAAAGGAACAGGGAGTTGAAGGTGGGAAGGATGAGGAGTATGTGGTAGAGGAGGTGTCGCTGTGATAAAATGGCTGGTCAGACGTGGAGCACAGCTTGGATCAGATGGGAGGAGAGAGACTGCAAACATGTAAGAGCTGGGGAGAAAACTAAGCATTGAAGCACAGGACCTTTGAACTACAGCATGGGCATGAGTGAGAAGCTCATTCGAAATAAAGAATCCTAGCCTCCATTCCAGATCTGCTAAGTTAGCATCTTTATTTTAATAAATTCCGTAGGTACATGTGTGTCCACTGAAATGTGAGCTTGGTATAGCAGAAAGAACTTAGTGTAACATGAATCTTTGTGACCTTGGACAAACTGGTCAGTAGTGTCTGAATCATGACTTTAAAATCCAGGGTTTGTTCTCTTTATTCATTTGTATGTGTGTGAACTATCACAGGAAAATACATAAAACAGTTTTATACCTTACAAAATATAAGGCAGACACCTTTACCACTGTTGTCTAGATCGAGAGTAAAACATTGTCCGTTCCCCATATGCCTTTTCTGTTCATAAGTCACCCCTTTCCCCCCAAAGGGAACACTAGCCTAACTTTTATTGTTTCCTTTTCTTAATATGCTTAGTGATGTCTGTAGCCCTAAATAATATAGTTAATTGTATCCATTTTTGATTTCATGTCAACGAAGTCTCCCTCGATTTGCCTTTTCACTTAGCACTATATGTTCAGTTGTCCCTGATGCTTTTTAACTGCTGTCTGTTATTCTGTTATGACAACTATGTCACATTGGTTTACCCATGATTCTATTATCATGTATCTGGGTTGTTTCCAGCCACAGTTTCTTCACTTGCACACAAATATTTTTCTCACAGGAACATTTCAAAGAGCAAATGAGGTAGCGAGTAGAAAAAAAATAACAGAACAATACAAATTTGAGTTAATCATAATGGTTAAGTAAGTGAAAGTGCTAAGATGAAAATCGCAAATAATTGGATTTAGCTAGAAAGAGGTCCGCAGTGACTGGGAATAATGGATGAGAAACAAGATATTTCAGATGTGTGATGTTGAAGCATAAGAGAAGTGAAAAAGTTGAAGCTGGAGTGTGATGGATGAATTCAGACTTTTCCCAGCTCTGAGAAGCAGGTTTTTAGAAGTCAGTGCTTGCTCTATCCCTGCCTTCCTCGAACTCTCCCACTGGAGTCTGACATACCCACCCACCCACCCCGCAAAAAGATAATTTGTCAGCATTTAATTTACTTAAGCTAGAAAATACTACTCAAGGGGCCTTTGTTGCACATGTTGGACTGTGAGTCCGGAGCCCCCAGCCCCCTCTGAGTCAGGAACGAATAGAAGTGGTGCATTACCGCCCGAGGCCTCTGGAGGGCACTGAGCGCCTGACCTGGGAAGTGTTCGGAGCAACCTCTTAGCCTCTAGTTTAGGAACTTCACATCCTTATAACCAAGGAGTAAATGGCAGTCTTAGTGGGGCAAAACAGGAATTTCATTCACTGGCACATTGCAATGACCAAGCTCTTTTGGATTTCTCTAGGATCTGAGTGTGGGTTTATATAAACACTTCCTTTCCTTACGTGATGGGGAGACCTGCTCAGATGTCTCAAGAGAACTCCGTTTCCTCTGCTGTGACATAGATCCAGTCCTGGTGGAGAGAGCTGAAAAAGAATGCCCTTTTCCCGATGCCCTGACCTTTGTCACCTTGGACTTCATGAATCAAAGGACCCGGAAAGTTCTCTTAAGCTCTTTCCTAAGCCAATTTGGACGCTCAGTTTTTGACATCGGCTTCTGCATGTCAGTAACCATGTGGATTCATCTGAACCATGGGGACCGTGGCCTGTGGGAGTTCTTGGCTCACCTGTCCTCCCTGTGCCGCTACCTCCTTGTGGAGCCACAGCCCTGGAAGTGTTACCGGGCAGCTGCAAGGCGTGTCCGGAAGCTGGGCCTCCACAGCTTTGACCACTTCCGCTCCCTTGCCATCCGTGGTGATATGGCGAGTCAGATCATACAGCTCTTAACCCAGGACCACGGCATGGAATTAGTGTGCTCTTTTGGCAGCACCAACTGGGACCGAAGCCTTTTGCTTTTCAGAACAAAGCACACTACAGAAACTAAGCCAACTCCTGAGTCACTGGTAGAAGAAGGGAATGAAAGGGACAGATTAAAATTCTGCAGACAGTGAGTAGGAAGGTATGAAGACCAGAAGGACACATTGTGAGGGTTTTAGGCTAAGAATTAAGTGTACCATCCTCCTCCTCACAGTTAGGCAGCCTCAAAACCTCGTAGAATCTTTTGGCAAAATGTCCAAGAGCGGTTCCTCTTTGTTTGGGAGTATCCCCAAGGGGACTACATCCTGGGCCCAGCGGGGCTGTCAGGGTAGGCGTGGTCTAAGGAAGTGATCCTGTCCTGTCCTGGGAGATGGAAGTGGCTGCTTTGGGTGGTTATGTATAAGCTTAGACTGGGCTAGCCTTACAATGGACTGGTTCGCTGGGCCCGGTGATTGTCATCTGGCGTCTTCAAGCTTCTTTTGGGCTTATTGGTCCTGCCTTTAGGTAATACTTCACAGCATAATCCAAAATGAAAAGTCACTGACCTGGCTAAGGGAGAGGATTAGGAAACGCATGTTATCTTTCCAGAGCAGGTCAAGTGTCCAACATGTCCAGGCTTAGCACAGCAGTTACAGGTAGAGGTAATTAATCGACTGGTGTTTAAAAGATTGAAATTATAAAGTCCAAATTATAGCTGGTAGAAATGAAATAAATGAAGTGGGACTGTATTATATATACATATATAATTATTATATATAATAAAAGCAACTTGAATATGGTTGAAAATGCCTTGTGAATTGGTTAGATAAGGCACGTTTAGAGTGCTTTCAACTCAAGAAAAGAACCTCACCCAGACTTTGAATGTGCCAGCAATTAAGTTAATGCAGGACTGGACAGCCTCAGCTGAAGCGCACCCGCGCAGCGGCGCCCTGTGCAGGGAGGCGTGTGTGCGGGCCGCAGAGCGGATGGCGACCGCAGGGGTGCTGTGGGGCGGACTGAGGTCTGTCGGGTTTTATTTTTATGTTTCCCCCAGCAAGTCAACATACTAGGAAAGAATCTAATTCTTTGATTCTTTGTAGACTCTCTTGACCCTTTTCCCCCTTCCCCTCCATCTTGATTAAGCCTCAGTTTGATTATCAGTGTTTGCGAGTTTGTAATTATCTTTGTATGGTTATTTCAGTTCATTCATTGTTTCCTTATAATACTCAAGAGTTAAATTATCCAACATCTGTCTTTATCTTTCTGGCTTAGTTCAATTTCACAAGGTTTTGATCTTTAAATTCAATGAATTGACTCTAAAAGAAAGTGGAAAACAAAGGAAGATTTGTTTGGTGGAAAGAAGACAGAAAAACAGCCTATCGAGGTAAGGAGAAAAGTGGATTGATGAGCTTCAAAATCCCTAAAATCTGTTTTCTGAACTGACATTGTAGAAGGAGAAGCAGGGAACAAGAGAACTACTAATTAGGAGCTGGACCTATTGATGGAGAAGTTAGTGAAAGTTCCTGTTAAGGAATTTGAATTTTATGCATGATAAGAATAGAAGCCAGCACAATACCTAAACAATAGGGATTTAGGAAAACCAGTTTTTCTATTTTGTGCAGAATAATTGTGTACCTGGTACCATTTCCAATCTCAATTAGACTCCAATATTACTTTTAATCTTTTAATAATTGCCGCTCCTAATCACTTTTATCCTAGTGACTGTTCCAGACTTTTACCCTTCAGCAGACATTTAATTCTCTCACTGCCATGTTAATCTAAGATGACCTAACCACCAACCAGTGCTGTTCTTCTTTGCTGTGTCAGGAGTATTTTCTTGCCCTCAATGTTTAATCCCCTCATCTTCCTCTCTTTTTTAAAATTTTATTTATTTATTCATATAAGAACTGGGACATAGAAGTTTAGGGATGCAGGGAGTGAGAGGATTCCCCAGAGACAGAGTGGGAAGCAGAGCAGGTGGATCTCCTGACATGCACTGTTGAGGGGGGCAGCAGGCGAGGCGGAAGAGGTCTGCTGCACCATGTGGGCCACTTCCATGATTGGAGCTCCAACTCATGCTGCAGTGGCTACGGATAGCTTCATAGTGCTGCACTTTAACCTTTTGCACCACCCAGGGAGGCTCCTCTTTCTCCCTTTTGCTTCTAAACTTACGCAGTGTGCTTTTACCCAAATAACCTCTGCCCCAATTCCTGATCCCAACCAGTATCTGTTCTCTTCCAAAGTATGTTCTATTTAAGATCTATGTGGGTCTCCTTGGCCTTGACTCCTTCCTGTTCACTTAACATGGTCAGTTTTCTCCTCAAAGCGCCCACTCTTCTGGATAACCTGGGTCCAACTTACCCCTCACAGCTGATCACAGTGGTTCAGATGTGAATTAATTTACTTCTCTGTAGAACTTTAAAACACTTTGAAGCTTTGTAGCCTTGCTGGTGCTCCCTCCCTTCACCAAGAAGTGCAAAGAAATGGACGTGAGGCTCTGGCAGGCTGTCTGCTGCTCCCTCAGAATGTTACGTCCTAATCCCTGGAACATGTGAATGCTGTTTTATTGGCAAAAGAGGTTTTGTGGATGTGTACAAATGACATAGGTTGATTAAGGACTTTGAGATTAGGAGCTCAATCTGGATTATCAGGCTAGGCTCTGAGTGTAACCCACAAGTGGGAGCAAAGGAGACTTGAGACAATAGATGTAATGACGGAAGCGGGATGTTGGAGTGATGTGAGGAAGGGCTGGGGACCAGGAAATGAAGTTAGGAAAGGCCTCTCCCGGGTCTCCAAAATGAATGCAGCTCTATCAACACCTTTTAGATATCTGACCTCTAATACTGCAAGATAACAAATGTATTGTCAGAAGGCACAGAGGCGCTGACTGCAGTGAGACAGGCGACACGCCCAGTGGCATCTGTCCCAAACAACTTGATGGGGGAAAGTGGCCCCACCAACCAGAGGGAGAGGCAGGGGCGCCATCTGCGTGATTAACTGAGGCCTCCACAATCATTAAAAGCTTCGGGAGATGCTTCCGCAGCTGAGCCTGACCTGTTCCCTGACATTTAGACTGGTTGAGCAGTTGCCTGACCTGTTGGGAGGAACTATAGCAGTTAGTTTCAAAGAGCTGTGTAACTAGTGCTCATAAAGGTGAGGCCCTGGTACCAAGAAGGGAATGATTGCAACATGGCCTGTGAAACCCATGGAGACAATGGGAAGATCTCTGGGTCCATGGAAAGATCGTTTCATTTATCCTCAAACCAGCTGAATTCAGGAGCCAGAATCAAGCATGACACCATCTTCAAAATCTAGTGCATGTTATACTTTGAGCTCTTCATTGGTTCCAGGCACATGCCAGATGCTCATTAGCCACATGTGGCTAATCTACTTTATGGCAAATCCAGAAGTATTATCAAATTCCTTCAGGTACCCAGAATGCCTTTAGCTGCAGTGGGGGGTAGGGAAAAGTAAATTAACTCACCCTGGACTTCTTTCTGGTGGTTAGATTTCATTCAGCAAGTATCTGTTAAAGAAGAGAAGAAAAAGAGGCTTATGGACGGCAGCAGACAGCCACATGGGCTACAGGAAAAAATGGTTCTGGGCTACACTGAGATGCGAGACTCCTGAAGGATAGAGAACTCGCGCTGTCCCTGAAAGCTTGAGCAGTGGCTGACAGGAGGGACAGTGCATCCCCATGCGCTTGGGGTAGGCAGTCTCTCAGCAAGCGCATGCAGGAATGGGTGTTGTGTTTGGGAACAGACAGGTCGAGCTGGTCTGGAACAGATGTCGTGCTGGACAGGAGTGAGGAAAGAGTGACCTTTGCCATTTAAGTAGATTATAGTAAAGCAAAAATAAAACTAAACATATTAGGAGGGAAGGTAGTTTTGAACATTGGAATACTCTGAAAATAAAAGTCAAAAAGGAAAAGATCAATAAACCTAACTACCTAAACAAGGGGAAAAAAGCACATGACAGTACCAACTGCAGACTACTTACAATACCTGTGATTGTAGGCGGTTTCATTGTAATACAACTCCTTTTTAAGAAAGATTTATGCATACCAGAGGGGGGGATAGTGAGAGGATTCATCAGAGACAGTGGAGAGAAGGACAGGCAGGTTGGCTGACAGAAGCACACTGCTGAGGGGAGCAGTGAGCAAGACAGGAGAGGTCTGCTGCACCATGTGGGTCAGCTCCCTGGCTGGGGATCAGATTCATGCTGCTGTGGGTAGCTTCATAGTGCTGCGCTTTAACCCGTTGTGCCACCAGGGAGGGCCCACAATGATTTTGCTAGCAGCATTATGCGCCAGCACCTCACGGCCTTCACATCATGGCACACATAAAACATGATATTTTCATGGCAGCTCACCAAGACTGCTGTCTGCCCAGGGGCTCAGGCTGCCCTGAGAAGAGCAACCTGCCGCGCACCCACAACCACCTCAGAGGCACAACTGGCAGGAGCCCCGAGTCTCGGACAGACGCCGCTCTCCGCTATCTCCCAGGCAGTCACACATCAGCGCCTTGGGCTGTGCGCGTGCCATCTCCAGCCTGCCCTTCCCTGGGTGCTTTCTGTGGCAGTGACTGGGCAGCATCTGCAGCTTACTCACTCCAAGCCTCTGCTGCCTTCTGCTTCTCTTCCCAACACCGGCTGACTTCAGTAGTTCTTGAAGCCATCTCCTCACTATCACCAATATCAAAGCAAGTCATTTCTCATCTTCCTCCACGATTACTACAGAAACTTTCTGTCCGGTCTTCCTAGCCTCAGTCTTGCTCTCGGTTCTCCACAGTGCAACCACTGTGATCTTTGTAAAATGAAATTCTTATTATACCACCCCCCCCCCAGCTCCTGCTTAAAACCATTTGAAAGATCTACTTTGCTCTTGGATAAAATATGATCTTCCCACTGCTTATCTTTTCAACCTCATTGCTTATACACCACATGAATTCTGTATTAAGTTATTTGATGTGCACAGTTCCTGGCATACAGTAAAGACTCATTAAAAGTTTTTTAATTTGGGGGCTTCCCTGGGTGCAGGGGTTAAATTCTGAGTTCTGTCAAGCTATCCTCAGCTACTGCGATCTGAGTTCTGTCCTGGCTAGGGAGATGACCCACATGGCACAGCAGACCTCTGCTGTCCCAACTGCTGCTCCCCTCAGCCATGTATTTCAGTTAGTCCACCTGTTCTGCTCCCCACTCTGTCTCTGGTGAATCCTTTCACACCCCAGCACCTCTGCCTACACCCCAGCTCTTGAATGCATGAGTAAATAAATCAATTTTTTTTTAAATTTTTTGAATAGGGAAAGGGACTCAAGAACTTGGTGGCTCCATCGTATCTGTGCCAGATGGGAGGTTTCAAAGCAAATCCTGACAATACTCTCAAAACCCAAGGAACAGGAACATAATTGTCCCATGCAGAATTAAGCAGCAATAGCAAAGCTCTATCCCTTCTCAGCAAATGGACTACACATTAGCCTATCCCCAGCTCCTTACTCTTACTGAGCAGTAAAAACATCAAGAATGCACTCAGACTTCCAATCTGGAGAATAGCCAGATTATTAAAATGTTTTGAGACACCAATTACCAACATGACTATCTGCTGATGTCAGGAATTCTAACGGGGGTCATTTTATCAGCCAATTAACACAGTGACCAAATGGCTACAATGTCACAGGAATGAAGCCGCTGTAGTGCCGGATGAATGACCACATAGTACATAGCAGAGGATCCCATTCAG